GAGCGCCCGGGCGGGGGGTCCGAGCGTGAAGGAGGCGGACGTTTACCGGTGGGGTCTGACAGGTCAGCGGGCCGCCGCCGGAGGGAAGGGGTGGTGAGGGAGCTGTAACGCGCGTTGGGGGATCGGTTTCAGAGAGAGGATCGCGGGAGGGGCCCTGCAGCTGCCCGGTGCTGTGCAGCTGTAGCCGTCTGGGCTCTGTGTTAACAACCCCCAGGCCTGAACTAAATGAAGGTGTAAATAAAGGTGGCGTCTGGGCCTGTAAAAGTGAGCCACAGCTGCTGCAGAGAATGGTATTGCTGCCGTGCTCACCGCTCCGTGCAGACCTTCCCTGGCTGCTTCAGTCCCGCTCTCCTTGGCTTTGCAGTTAGGTGGGTGGTTAGGCCAGGGGCTTGGCTCCCTGAGCCCAGCTTTTACCACTCCAGTGTCTCAGCACAGCCTTAGACGGCTCTGTGCTTCAGGAGCAGATCAACAGGGCAACGTTCATAAGCCTCAAAGCAGGTCGATGTTGAGCCTGAATGCTTTAAAGTGCTTTCCACTGCCTTGTGGGGAGCCCATATTCCAATCCCTGTGCTAGTTTGGGTTTCTTGTTTCCTGCGGCAGGGTGACTTCACGTGCTCAGCGTGCACCTTTCCCCAGGGAGGAGAGAGCAACAATGGCACAATGTTATTAACAATACGCAGCACTTGAGTCCACGTACAAGGAAAGATCTTGAGAATTCCTACTTGCCTTGTTTTGTGTTTGTTTTGATATATTGTGCCCCATAATAAGGATTGCAGCAGTAATAGTAGCTAGTGACCTACACTTGAGGTCTGTCTTAGCTTAAGCGAAGGAAAGCTGGAAAACATCTTGTTGAGAAATTATTATTATACAATAGTAGAGTGTTACAGACATTTTCCGTAACCTAAAATGTGTCCCTGGATGTAGTACTTACATATGTAAAAAAGTGGCTGGAGCTGAAAATCAGGCCGTCTTCTAGGAATGCAAAGTAGCAGCTTAATTATCAGTTAGGTTCCTTGTAGAGGCCTTTGTAGTGACTCAGGGCATTTTTGTGTGTACAAGTTCCTGAATATGGTTTAAGTTAATGGATTTGCTGGTGTCTCTGCTCTCCGGCAGGGTAAACCAGCTTTGCTGACACCTGTTGTGCTTTTCCTGGAAGGCACTTGTTTGGGATGGCCCAGTTGTGCGGGACCCATTTCTGGTGGCTTCAAGGTGTAACTGTGTACAGAGTGTATTGGATGACTGTGTAAATGTAACAAATTGCTTTTATTCCCAGGCATTAAGCTTCGTCCCTATCAAATAGAAGGTGTAAACTGGCTGGTGCAATGCTACGAAGTCCAGCATGGCTGTATCCTGGGTGATGAGATGGGTCTTGGGAAGACTTGTCAGGTGTGTTGTCTTCTTCTTCTGGAAAATGATCTTTGCCTAATTTAGCGCAATGTTTCTGCAGAATGTAAAGAAAATCACCCTAATGATTGGTCGGTTAAGCAGCCCCATCCTGAAGTCCATACTCAAAAGAGAGAGCTCATTGTTTCTTTCATTCCTTAATCACTTAAAACCCCTGTTAGGTCCTGAGTGACACTCCAAAAAGGTTTCAGGGTTTTGTAAAAAGATGAGTGGTCATTTTACACAGACATCTGAATGTGTAATTCATAGTGCACAGAGTTGAAAGGACAATACACAGCCAGTACAGAGGGGATGATGTCGTTTGATGCCCCTGCAGCAAGATGATTTTTGGGTTTGTTAACACATGGATTAAAATTTACAGGTGTAAGTTTTTCAGTGCTGCTTTTTTTTTTTTTTGTAAGTTTTTAAATGGGTTTCAGTTTTGTTGGAAAATGAATGTTTGTGCTTTGGTTCAGCTGGTGGTATTCAATGGGTCTTAAATAACAAACTGGTAGTTTTAGAAAGTGATGTATGATAGATCTTCTTTTTTGTGACTGGAGAAAGGTCTTTGGAAAGGGGCTCCAGATATCAAGGTCACGTTTTGGGATCTAAGCTTTTTTGTCATTGATGGTGGATCTCACCTGACATTCTCTTAGCTCTGCTTTGTGCTAGAGAACCTGTGGGAACCAGCTACAAAGCTCAAGAGGTAGACAGTTTATGTAGGTTCAGGCTATTGGGTTTAACCCTTTTCTTATTATAAAAAAAAATATTTTCCTTGCCTTCTAGACTATTTCTCTACTTCTTTATTTGACAAAAAAATTAACGAACAAAGAGAGCTTTCTGATACTTTGTCCTCTGTCTGTTCTGAGCAACTGGAAGGAGGAACTGGAGAGGTAAGTTTCAACAGTTGTCCAGTTGTCCTGCTCATCATGTTCTTGTACAGCAAGTTACAAAGATTCTCTTCAAATGGGCTCAGTCCAACAGTTTTCGTCCTTTCAAAAGGAAAAAAAAGTAAAAAAGGTAAGCTACTGAAACGACAGATCAAACACCACTTGCAGTTAATGTGCAGGCTTTACAATGCGGTGGTATACATTAATTCATCCAACTTATAGTATTGGCTGACTTTCAGTACAAATGCCCCCACTAGCTCCTTGCTTTTTTTTGTTTTGTAACCCTCCATGCTCAGCCTCTCTTAGGCAAAATCTGCAGAAGACAGCCAGGATTCTGTATGATGAAAGGTAAGACCCAAGTCTTACCCAATAGTATCTTTCTTGGCATGCTCACTTATGCATGCAAAATACATCTGTGCATGCAACCCGTCTTCACTGGTGTGCAGTGACTGTGCTGACGGCACATTTGCGTGCCTGGAATATACATTTTTAAGCTGGAGCCCAAACATTCCTTTTAAGAGGAAGGGCAGAAAGTTAAAGATTAGAACAGAAGTCTGTCTATGTGGCTGTCAGGCAATGCTGTCTCTCAGCGTCTGAAGTCATCCAGGTTACATTCTGAAGTGAGCTGGCCCGATTTGGATAGACTTCTGGTTGGAATAGTTGGGGAAGGTGCATCCCTTCATAAATCAGCAGTGAACAGCTATCCAGGAGGAACATTAGGCAAATATCAGTGGTGGGATTAAATGTGGAAGAATTTTATGGTCCCAACTCTTCCTCCAGGGAACTGGTTTTATCTGCTTTTTGACTAAGAGGATAGATTTTTGAGGCCCTGACTTGGACCTGTTTGCTGCAGACATTGTTTGCCTTTATTTTAGCATGATTTAGGCCAGTTCTTTGGTCCCAACTGGGCAAACTGTATTCATTCACCTGCTTCTCATGAGCTTTTTCAGTTCAGAATGGCAGATGGGCCATGAGACTGGTTTTCAATCATCTGCCTTGGACTTTGAGACCTAGGAGAGCACAGTTTATTTGGTACTTGTCCAAACCAGAACCAGCAGCTGAGGTGCCAACCTGAGATGCAAATTAATCAGGAAGGGATTCAGAAGTGAGATCCAGCCACATCTCACAGGAGGGTAGGGTGTTTGGATAGGAGGTTCTCATTATCTGTGCAGTAGCTGTGTTTGATAAGATGGGCCTTGGACTTTGAGACCTAGGAGAGCACAGTTTATTTGGTACTTGTCCAAACCAGAACCAGCAGCTGAGGTGCCAACCTGAGATGCAAATTAATCAGGAAGGGATTCAGAAGTGAGATCCAGCCACATCTCACAGGAGGGTAGGGTGTTTGGATAGGAGGTTCTCATTATCTGTGCAGTAGCTGTGTTTGATAATGGGGTCCAGGGTCATAAACACATGAAAGACTTAGCTTGGCTCGCTGTTTTTTCTCTGTCTTTCTCTTGACAACAGGTTTGCTCCAGGTCTTTCCTTTGTGACATACGTAGGCAGCAAGGAGGAACGACCCAAACTGCAGCAGAACCTGAAAGAGCAATCTCACTTCCATGCACTCTTGACAACATACGAGGTACATGATGTCTTTGACACTTGAAAGGAGGGCTCAAGCTTTTCCCCGCCTTTTCCATTCCTCTGTACCACCCAGTTCATGCCTTGTCCTCTGTACTCATCTCTGACCTTCCTCAGTGATTTTCTACTCTGTAACCCATTTCATCAACTGATCTAAGTTGCTGCAGTCTTTGCGTCCCTAAGATAATCTACTTTAACCCCAGCTTTCCCTCATAGCTGTATCACACCTTGAGTAAAGAAAACAGACACATGTCCATCCTTAACTAATGCTAAATGGTACTGCATTGTCTTTGTATGGTACCTTACAGACCTTTAACATTTAATAGAAACGTACACATGTGTGATGTTTATTAAGATTCTATTAATCAGGCAGTGCAAGAACACTTAGAGTTTGCCTTTTTTGTGCCCTTTTCAGCATGCCCTCCTCAGACAAAACTCTCATTCCTGGACTGCAAAATGGTGGGGTTCCTGTTACAATTGATAGGACTTTGGGCTGAATCTGATCAGAGCTCTCCTGAGAAGGTCCTGTCCTGCTGTAAATGGAACCAACCAGAACAGTGTTGCTTCCTTGGTCACTGCTTTGGACTTTGCATGATCTGGTGCTTAGTTATCTGGAGTGGAAAAAAGCCCTTCTTTTTCTCTCATGAGTCAGTCCCACTCAGGTGTTACTTCATATCAGCACTATGATTTTATTTTAACAATCTCTAAACAATACATCAACTTGAAATTAGATGAAAAACATCTCTTACAGCTCCTTTTTTGTTTGTTTGTTTTTTGGTCCCCCGTCCTTTTGTTTTCCCTCTCTTCAAGTATTTTACTGTCTCTTCCTGCTGGGAGCTGTGTGACCTGTGCTGGCCACTCTGAACGTGAATCTTTTTCCACGTTGCACAAGCAGGAGTGGGTAGCAGAGATAACCCTTGTCCTGAATGTGATAAATGGAGGTGCTCATACTGAAGCAAGTCCAAGAAAGCAATCAGCTGTATCAAGATACTCACTTAGCTAGGATTTTTCTTGTCTCTGTTGCTTTTGATGATAAAATTCTGTGCTTTTTAAGGATTTCTCTTGAGTGACCTGATTTCCTCTGAATCTGAAGTTGGGCAAGCAATGTCTACACTTTAGGATACTATCAGGTCATTGTAATAGCTTAGATTAATCCACTGAAGCATCTGTTTGGTTAGAGTGAAAAAAATTGTGATGCTGAAGGTGCATGCTGTTTCTTACTGAGTGAGAAAGATATGAAAAACTTCACAGAGGTGAAAAGCATTTATGGTGGGTGTAAATTTCCATTAATTCTCTGAGGTTCTACTGCTGGTGTTTTGCCAGACGAGTTAAAATGTAGGATCACAACAGCTTGTGGTTACAATAGCTGTCATGTTACTTTCCTCAGGTAATAAGTGGCTTCATTCCACTCTCCTTCATTCCACTATAGTTTGCAAGTAGACAAAAAAGTAGACAAAAAGATGTTCTGTTTCTTAACTGGTGTATTAACTTAAGTCATAAATCACGGTTCATTTCTTTTTTTATTGCAGATTTGTCTGAAAGACGCAGCATTTCTAAAATCGTGAGTCTGGTTTTAGTTTTTTCAAATTTAATTCTGCATGTCTGTCAGCGATTTCTTAAGTGTATGTTTGTATGTGTGTGAGATCCCATGCTTGTTTCACAAGAGCCAGGGATGTTCTCTGCTTGTGATTAGAGCTTTGCCTGTACAAACTCTCAGTGAAGAATCTTTAATGTCAGCGAAGATGTACGTGAACTTCCCCCAAGGACAGTTTTCAAGCCAGTTAACTCAAAATAATATGATATATAGTGGCTTATAGCAGTGCACTAAATATCAGTCCAGAAGATTGATATTTAGAACAGAGGAGATCTTCAAAAGCTTCAGATTATAAAGGTATTAGACACAAAATTTGCTGAAATTGACCTGCATTATACTATGGTGATCATGTGCTAATACCATATCCTGAAGTTTATTGCCTCCTGCCACCAGTCAGAACTGTGGGGGGTTTATGGACTATTATGCTTTCTAGCAAGACTTGATTATACAGCTGAAGTTCAGCCTGTAGGAAGTATTGTCATGGCCATACAGGATTTTACAGAAGCCTACACTTGAAATGGGGAGGAATTTTCATATTTTTTAGTAATAGTGCCAATGCCTTGCAATAGTGGTAAGTGCTGTGACAAATGTTGAGGGCAGCCAAATATTGTGAATGGGTCAGGATGTTTGTAGGAGCAGAAGCCCAGTGGCCCCCACTGACACAATTTTGGATCTCCCAGAACTAGTCAGGCCCACTATAGGCACCCTGTTGTCTTTCTGCAAAGCACCTGCCCTTGGCCACTGGTGGAAACAGCAGGTTGTGCTGAATGAATCCATCATGGTAGAAGCCAGGCCTTATGAAAGGTAGCCATGGCCATGCTGTCCTTACAGTTTCATATCATGTCCTGCACTGCTGCGTATGATTCTGCTTATTTTGCAGCTTAGCTATGGGATGTAGTACCCAGGGATAGCAAGTAACTAGCCCTAGTATCACAGAAATGTCAGCTCCAGTGCAATTTCCTACTTCTCAGGCTAGCACATAACCTCAAAGCCATGTCACTCAAGGGGTTTTTTTGCCCTTTAGTATTCCTTCTGAAAAAAGCAGCTGCTAATAATTTGTACTTTGTCCTGTGTAGGAGCACTTGGAGCACTTTGTAAAGGTGAGTCAGAGTTACCAGATGTCTCACCACCACCACTCCTTACAAGCAGTGTAATAACACAAATGAGTTGAGCAAGAGCCCTGTTCTAATGTAACGTGGAGAGATTCAGCTGCTGAGCCTGTAGAATAAGAATAATGACATTTCACTGTCCTGGCAGTGGAGAACCACTCTTAAATAGCAAAGAGGGGAATCAAGGGACACAGAAGAGCTGTGGGGAGAATGTAGGTCCCTGGGATTCCAGCCCCACTCGGAAGAGAAGCGTGTGGGTAAGAAAAGCTGGAGGGTCATGCTTTGCCTTCCCTGCCTACCCATCAGCCAGACTTGACTATGTGGAAATCACTCTGTGATGTGGGAGTTGAAAACCTGGTGATAAGCAGGCACAAACACTGAGGATTGAAAAGATCTGGAGTTTGTATTAAGCCTAGTGGATCTACTAGGTCACCAGTGATTCTACAGCCTACTTGATGAGACACTACATATAGCTGTATCAAGCCCAGAACAAGCTGAAGCTGCTGTTTTGGTGATTTGCAAAAGTCTTGTAATCACTCTGCCATCACTACTCGATCATAGTTGTTGGGTTTGCAACCCTTGCAACCCACAGGTGAAAGGGCCTAGTCTCATGTATCTTTTGTTCCAAATTGTAGACCTCCTTGAATGTTTGACTAACTTGTGCTTATATCATTTTCCCCATAGAAATGGGGGTGGAGAGAGAAGCAACAAATTCAAGTGAATTTACTTAGTTTTGATTTCAGAAAAACTCATCCAGGCTATAGTTAAGAAGCTGCGTTGGCTCTTGAAAACCAGTATTTGTGAATTCCTCCCACCCTGCTTGTGATGTTTGCTTGTGGTTCATGGGGTAGGACCATCTCAAGTTCATCCAAGCAGAGCCACCACTTATTTCAGTCTTTTTGTACTGACAAGAATGAATTGTCTGCCTCTAACTAAAGATGCTGTTTTTTCAGCTTTAACTGGGCTGCCTTGGTTGTAGATGAAGCTCACAGACTGAAAAATATAAGTTCTCTGCTTTACAAGACGCTTTCTGAGGTAAAATAACTCATCCATCTTTTAGTGTCTGAAGCCTTTTTTCTCTTCAGTATAGCATACAGATTCTCTGTTCCTCTGAGTATTTATTAACCTCTGGGCCACAACCAGTTTCAATCAGAGTTGGTGAACGTGTTCCCATATTTAGTGGCAGACAGATAAAGGCCTGTCTTGTTGGCTTTGCATGGAGGTGGGCAGTATTTAGAGCTTATCTCTCATTCTGACTCATGTTTGGGCTTGACATGTTGGAGCAATTCGAGAGACCGAAAAATGTAAAGCAGCCAGTCATAGTGCTGAACCACAGCTGTGCTACTGAAGTCTGGCTGACCTAAGACAATATAAAGCGACAAGAGGCTATCTCCAGCTCTGGGAGGGTGAAGGAACCCTTGCCTTGTTCATGGGGCCTCACATCATGAACTATTGACTTCCATTGTCCCATTTAATGGAGCCACCCTTTCTTATTGAAATTAATAGAATTGCTCCAGCTTCCAAAGCACCCTGCCAGAGTACAATGAATACCTGAGTGAAGGATACACTTCTTGTCATGGCAGTGAAACATGGGCATTAGGTCTGGGCTGGCATCAGCAACAATGAACTACAGTACCTTGAAAAATTAAGGGTTTTTTGTTAAGTTCTTAAAAGTCATGTCTTCTGAACATATTGTCCATGATGTCTGCATTTCAAGAGCTTTGGTTGTAGTCACAAAGAAATAGGCGCGATTTACCTTAGCTCTCTTCCTAATGTATTTTCTATTACCAAACTTGAGAAAAGACTTGTATTTTTTCAAAGGTAACCATATTCCCCAAGTCTCTTTACGGGGATTACTGTAAGCAACTTGGACCACATAGTGTTGCTGTGTTTATCAGTTAGACAGCAAACAGAAATGGAACATAGTCTTTTGCAGTTTCATTTCACTGTCCTATTCTGACAGCATTTTCCAGTCATCTCTCATTACGTAACACTCGGTATGCAGTATTGGACCGTAGAGTGCATGGATCTGAGAATTTTAATGGTGTCAGTTTTGCACTTTGTTCTTATTTTGCTTACACTCTCTTCCTTGCATTGGTGCCATCCTAGTCGGTTTGGTGGAGCTGTTTGACTGTCACACCATACCTTATGGTGGATGGTTTTGGCAGACATTTGCAGCATTCTGTGGGCAGTTCTGTGCCACCTGTCATCTTTAAGTTAAGCTTAAGAGTGGCGTGGGTGGAGTTGTATATTAAGTAACTTTTCATTCCAGATATTTTCTCCTAATAGTTTTGTTTTGTTGCTGGTTCTTTCAGTTCTCAGTAGGCTTCAGCCTGCTACTCACAGGCACTCCAATCCAGAACAGCCTCCAGGAACTGTACTCCTTACTCAGCCTTATTGAGCCTGACATCTTTCCTAGGGAACAAGTGAAAGAGTTTGTTGAGTATTACCAAGCGATTGAAAAGGAGAGTGAGCCAGGTCAGTAATAAGCAATGTTGTACGTGAATCAGAACCAGCTGTTATCTTGACTAGGAAGCAGACATGTTGTGTCCCCTTTGTTTGTTTTTTTAATGCTGACTAGCTTTAAAACAAAGCCACTAAAAGTAATGATTACTTACCTTAATGTAGCTCTTATGTATTTAAGGTATGCAGCTATGTTTTGGTTTCTCTGTTTGTAAAATTGTGCTTGAATCATTGCACTAATAGGTGTAAAGATCCTTATACATTTATTTTGAAAGTATAGTTGTGAAGGTACTGTATAAATTCCTTACATTTAATGCAGTAATCTCTTTTTTTTTTTTTTCCCTCCCTCTACATAGCCAAAGAATTGCACAATCTTCTGCAGCCGTTTTTGCTTCGAAGAGTCAAGTCTGAGGTGGCTGCAGAGCTGCCAAAGAAGGTGGAAGTGGTTCTGTACCATGGAATGTCAGCTCTGCAAAGGAAGTACTACAAGGCCATTTTGACAAAAGATCTAGGTAATTGAGGGGTTTGAGCCCTGTGAGCTAATTTTAAAACCGAAATTAATTGCTTTTGTAAATCCATGCTCTGTTGTAGTGAAGGAGAAGATACTTTGGCCTGCAGAATATGCATAGAATGAACATGCCAAATTCCGTGCTTTGGGCTGCCTGATTTGTGGTTTTAGCTTGTAATAAAATAAGAGATGTGAATCTAGAGCTGAGCTTTTGCAGAGCTGGGGAGGGTCAGCTTCAGGATTCTGCTTTGGGCCATCCTGTAATTAAAAACACTTATCACCAGGTAAGCCTGCTCCTGTCCCATGTTTTTGTGTTCAGACAAAAGGGTGGTACAGGAAATTTTGGATCTGTGGATCTCAACAAATTTTCCAATGGTAGTACAGATGCCATACAGCAATTTTAAACATACTGGATGTAGATATGAGTTTCTTAGGAAACCACAGGGCCATATAGACAATGCAGCCACAGACTCTTACCATAATAGCTCACTCCTTGTCACTTCACGTATGAACTAACTGTAACAAAGCATCCTGAAGTATGAGAGAGAAAGTATTTGCTTCTCTCTGAGTTCCTCCTCTTCCATCTATGCATACCACATCATATGGCTTGCCAGTGTTTATGTGTTGTACGGAAAGTAAAACTGTGGGGATGGAGATGCTTTGTTCTTCTAGGGCTAATGCCTGGTGCATCAAGGAGCCAGTGGCACTTTGCATGCACATCACCAGGCAGGCTGAACTTTTTTCTTCTAAAGTCAGCATATGTGCATATATCTTCTTTTTGTTGTCACAAAAATGCAACCCTTCTTAACTTCCTGGTTGCCCAGTAGATCTTGACTCTGCTGTATTACTTTTTTTGTTGGAAAATTCAAATCAACTGCACCAAATTTCTTTTGCGTTTTTTGATGATTTCTAGATCTATAATTCGCTCTTAGACAAATGACAGTGACCGTTTCCAGGGAGTCCAGAAAGTTCCAGGGAGTTTGACAAGGCAGAGTTTTCATCAGGGTCTTTTTCTAAAGGCTTGTCCAAAAAATGTGAGGGAAATTTTGTTTGGTCCATGAAAACAGATGTATTAGTCTTGAGCTGGAAACTCAAATGCAGATGTGATATGTGGAGAGAGACACTCTAGTGCTGAAGCACTGCAGAGCAGCGCTCGGTGCCCAGACATTCTCAGTCACACCCATTGATGGAGCATGGGCTTTCCTGCTCAGTTCCTTTTCTGTGCTCTTTGTTCCAGATGCATTTGAAAGTGAAACAGGAAGGAAGGTTACACTTCAGAATGTCTTAATTCAGCTTCGGAAGTGTGTTGCCCACCCGTACCTTTTCAATGGTAAGAAAGCATTCCTCTCTGTTGAAATAGAAATAAGTTTCTTGATTTACACAATGGTTTTCTATTATTGCTTGGCAGTGTAATGCTTAGAAGAAGCAAGTAATAAACAATGTTGTACTTGAATCAGAACCAGCTGTGAGTGTGTGACCAGTTCCAACATATGACAGTTTATTAATAATGAGGAATAAAGTAGGGCACTGTGTGAAGTCTGAGTTTCTTACTGCAGCACTCTGCTTGTTTTCTCATCAATGCATCTGCTTTCACCTAAACAATGACATCACAATGCTTTGTGAACTATTGAGGGTGTTCTTTAGAGACAGAGAATGACCATCATGGGGGTCTGCTTGGCAATAGTTGGCAGTGCAGACACACTGAGGTTGACCGTTGAGTTGTTATTTGCATAGTATTAGGTCTGCTTCTGAAACTCCTTTCTGTTCCAGGCGTTGAGCCAGAACCCTTTGAGATTGGAGACCATATTGTTGAAGCCAGTGGCAAGCTGTGTTTGTTGGATAAACTCCTTTCATTCTTGTATGTTGGGTATGTCATGTTGGGGTGAGGAAGATAGGGTGGGGGTGACATAAGGAGAGGAGGTAAACTGGGAAGGCAAACTACCTTATTTAGCCATAGATTGAGCAGATATTCATCACGACACAAGCACTGCCCTATTTATTGCACGTTACTGACTACCTGAAAGAATTCATTTCAGTACAAGGAGCTGCATTAGAGATGGTAGAGGAACCTCAAAGATTTTTGTAGCTTCCCTTTAAACTTTTCTCAAAACACTTCACTAACTCTCTCACATGTTCTCATATTTGCCATATTTAGGAACCTGGGAGAATAACCATGTGACATGGTAGTCAGCATATCTGGTTTGACCATAGGTTTCCTGAGAGTAACTTCTAGTGCATCAGTTGAGTTCCTTTGTGCTACCGTGCCTGTGTTAGCCTGGGAGGCAGAATGCATAGCAAATGTGAAAAAGAAATTTGACTGGACCAAAACCCGAGAATAAGCTGAAACTTCAGCTTTGGGAATGGCATTCAGAACTCCTGGTGCTGGGCTCTGGTGACTTCAGAACCTGGAACCTAAGGACCTTGGGTATTTACCTCCAGCTCTCAGATGGGAGGCAAATCAAACTGCAGTTTGCATTCTTGTGCAGTCTGTGAAGCAGTGCCTCCTGCGTGACACAAATTCTACCTTCTCTCTTAATTGGGCTGCGATTTCCCTTTGACTACTTCCAAAGGACAGAGCTTCAACACACCTTGGGAAGTTCTGATGTGGTTGTGGAGGTCTTTGCCCTTCTGCTGTATAGCACCTTGTGAGTGGGTGCCTCTCCCTTGAATATCTTTGCCACAGGACCAGCCCTGTGCAAATTCTGAATTTGAAAACACCTGTGTTCTGCTCTACAGTGAAGTCTGATCGTAAACAGAGCACTCGGGCCTAGAGCTGGGAGGGAGGAGAGTTGATTTCTCACTTACCCATGTTTGTAGGCAGAGTTTAATCTTTGAGGATCATTTGCTGGAGGAGGAAATGCTCTACTGTCACAGAGATGCTGATACTACATTTTCCCAGCATTTAAGATGCTTTGTAGTGTGTGATTTGAGAGCAGTCTCATGTGGCAGGTCATGTGGTGAGGAAGACCTTGTGATGCTAGGTTGAAGCTAAGGATCCTTTTAGACGGGCTCCTTTGGATCCTCACCAGGCTGCATCCAGCTAGCAGCAGAGCTGTGCAACAGCCTTGTTACCTCTCTGTGACTCTACACTCTAGACATGGCAACTGATGATGGCAGATGAGGCTGACTGGTTGCATCTGGATGTGGGGCTGAAAATGTGGTGAGGGAATGGGCCATGACTCTGTGAGGCTTAGTGTTGTCGTGGTTTAACCTCAGTCGGCAACTGAGCACCACACAGCCACTCGCTCACTCCCCCCCCTACCCCCCAGTTGGACAGGGGAGAGAATCGGAAGAGTAAAAGTGAGAAAAGTCGTGGGTTGAGATAAAACCTGTTTAATAATTGGAATAAAATAAAATAATAATAATAAGAAGAATATACAAAGCAAGTGATGCACAATGCAATTGCTCACCACCTGCCGACCGATGCCCAGCCAGTCCCCGAGCATCAGCCCCCCCCCGGCCAGCTTTCCCCCAGTTTATGTACTGAGCATGACGTCACACGGTACGGAATATCCCTTTGGCCAGTTTGGGTCAGCTGTCCTGGCTGTGCCCCCTCCCAGCTTCTTGTGCACCTCCAGCCTTCTCAGTCAGTAGAGCATGGAAAACTAAAAAGTCCTTGACTAGTGTAAGCACTGCTTAGCAACAACTAAAACATCGGTGTGTTATCACCATTATTCTCATACTAAATCCAAAACACAGCCCTGTACCAGCTACTAGGAAGAAAACTAACTCTATCCCAGCCGAAACCAGGACAGTGTACAGAGGTGATGAGGCCTTGCTACATAACAGTGACTGGTTAAGCTATTGTAACCCCTCCACCACTCTGTGAAATGCTGTCACAGTATGTTGAGGCTCATGATATCTCATGTTCTTCTTCCAGCGGCCACCGTGTCTTGCTCTTTTCTCAGATGACTCAACTGCTTGATATCCTGCAAGACTACATGGACTATAGAGGTACGTTCCGCACGCTTTGGCAGCAGAGGGCTTATCCTCATGATCTCCGGCATATATTGTTCCTCTGATTTTGGTTGATCTGCCTGGGGTGGAGAAGGGACTGTGATGGGGATTTATTGCTGCTTAGTAGATAGAAACCATATTGCTGCAGTGGTGCTGTGAGTTGGAGGGTCTTGAGTTCAGCTCTTTGCTGTGCTACCACCTGCCTGAAATGAGCTGACACTTAAATATTGTTCTTCAAAGTAGTTTCAGCTTTGGCTCCAGGATAAAATGGAGCTAACAGATGGCAGGGTAGCAATGTTTCATTATATACCTGTGTTCAATTATGTACCTGAGTCCTGAAGTAATTGCACTGAAGGCAACAGGCTTGCTCTACATTCAGTTTGTCCAGCACAAAATGCAAATTGGGCCACATTCATACCAAGAAAGTAATTTTTGATTAAAACAGTTGTTGGCAGTGGGGCCCCAATATGTCTGCGAGGGCAGGTTGGATCAGACCATTTTTGGCAAGTGTTCTTGGGACATTTTCTTTTGTTTCAATCCACATGGCTCCATGCCTACTTAGGATTTCCCATGAAAGAGGCTTTTGTTTGGTGTTTATGGTTTTGGACAACTAATAACGCAGGATAAAGCCAAATGTAGGGCCATATCCCATACTGCTTGCTCACAGGAAAGCACACATTGAAGGCCGTGGGAGTTTGCATAAGGAGGATCCAATGGTTGTTGGCCTGTTTTGTGGGGCCAACAGCCAGCGCAGCGTAGTCTGAAATGGGACTGTGTGCTAATGTTCTTTTACTTTGGCTCTCAATTTTCCTGTTGTGGTTCCAAGCAGTAAATTAAATGCTAAGAGTCTCTGCTTCAGACTCAGCTAAATAACCCTTTGCTGACAGTCAATCTGGAAGTCAGGGTCACTACTTCAGTTTATACGAGGTTTAACTGGGAAAGAATGAAGGAGTTGAAGGCAATAAAATGAGAATCAGGGCAGGAGGATTTGGTATAAAAAGATTCAGGACAGCAGTGAGACAATAGAGAATGAGGTAAGAGCATAGACAGAATTTCAGAAACATACATGTTGCTTGTTTGAAAAGGCTACAGCTACGAGCGGCTCGATGGTTCTGTTAGGGGTGAAGAGAGACACCTTGCCATTAAGAACTTTGGTCAACAGCCCATCTTTATCTTCCTGCTGAGCACCAGAGCAGGTAAGTAAGGAAAGGAGAGACAAACAACCCATCTTGCTTCTGCACTCTTCTTTTGCTCTCTCTGGCAAGATTTCAGGGAGTTCTGAATCCTGCAGAGCCTGTTCTCGTGGGGGATTTTTGAGGGAGACAAGACACATCCTGAACTTGGGTCTTTCAGCTAGGACATCTGGTTTCTGTGCTTTGCTTTCGGCATCTGATGCCAAGATACTTTTCATATTGCAGCCACTTGAGTTACCTTTTTTATTCCAAGTCCCATAATGCCTGTCCCTGTGCCAGGCTGAGCTTAAGGAATCTCACTAGCGTTTTATTTCTGCAAGCACCAGACTTTAGGAGGGAACAGAATTCCTTTAAGTAAGCTGGTGGAATTGCTTCTCGAGTTTGCTGAACATGGATATGCTCTCTCGCTGGCAGACAGACTTACATGAGAACCTTTTACTGTCCTGAGACTGCAAAGAACACCATGGGACTGCCATCTGTGCTTCTTCCCCTCTTAGCTCCTCAGGCAGGTCTGAGTCTTCTACACATTTTCAGACTTCCCTGTCTCTTTATTCAAGCAAGCGCAGAGACAGGCTTGTCTCCAGAGGAGGGATCCACACTGCTTGATCTCAAGCATCAAACTTGAACTAAGTTTTCCTTTGGACTTCTGGTCAGACTTTCCTGGATGAGCCTGGCTCCAATGATACTGCAGTGCATTGAGGAGAGTACATAGAGAGACTGAAAAGAAGCGCCTAATGCTAGGTGGTAGGAATAAGTGTGTCTCTCACCACGGTGCCTGAACTCTCCCTGTCCATGTCAGCCAGACTTAGAGTTGTTTTTCACTGCACATTGCTATGTCCGGCCAAAGCATCTTGTATTCATCTGGGAACAGTATTTCCATCGCTGTTATGGACAAGAGATTTTTCAGGTGCATGACTCTCCACTTGCAGGGATGTTCTGATTACTGTGAAGAGGTGCTTGGCATGAGCTGGAAGAAATGTAAGGCAGGAGGCTCCCCCTCCAACTACAGTATGTAGTCACAATAGTGGGTATTAAAAAAAAAAAATTGTGCTTTTTTTCTTTTCATTCTATGAGAGCCCAAATTCTAACCTCAAAAACTTTAAGTCATATAAATACCTAGGCTCTGGTTATTGTATAGTTGGGCCTGGTCTTTTCCACTGTTTCAGCAATGTATTTACCTGTTGCTTCTGTGCTGCAGCCAAGTCATGACTTGGGCAGTCCCTTGTAGCCTCAGTGAAGCCAGTCCTCGCTGGGTTAATCTGCCTGCCAGCAGAAGAATATGTCTGTGTTCATCAGTCTTGACAACCAGTCCCCTTTGCATTGCTTCACTTGCACCCTATCTTTTTGACTACATTGCGCAGTACAGCTTGGTTTTGGGCTGTTGCAGAAAGCTGGAAATGGAAGGCTTACCCATCTTCTTAGATCCTTATGAGACTTAGATTTGGGGTTAAGAGATGGATTGAATTAGATACAGTTGATCAGATATGACAGAGCCTTGCATAGCATAAATTCTCCAGGTTCTCCGTTATTTTCTGCTGGTGACGTATTTTATGACCTTCTTCTTTGTTTGTAGGTGGAGTTGGCATGAACCTGACAGCAGCAGATACAGTTATTTTTACCGATAGTGATTTTAACCCACAAAATGACTTGCAAGCAATAGCAAGAGCTCACCGGATTGGGCAGCACAAGTGAGAAATGTTGCTACTTCTGGTTTGGTTGCTGACTCTCTTGGTCCCTCAGTATTGCTTTCCCTATCCATAGGCAATGGAGGGCTAAAGTACAATAGATTGAAGATCAAAGAAGGAGAGCAGAGAGGATTTTACGTCTTTGTTTTTCTGTTGCAGCCTCGTGCAGTCTTGTCCATGTCACGTGTCTAGGGTGGGAGCTTTGTTGATTTGGAGGAGGGGGAATCTGGAGGTTTGCCTGCACTTTTGCAGTGAGCATTTCTCCTGCGTCAAAAGGCAAAATTGCATCAGCATTACATTTCTGCTGATTATTTTTGTTGATTTGGTTCTTGCCTTTTTTTTCCCTACCAAAGGAGTGGGTGAGGGGATAGTGCTCCATGTAAGGAAGCAGCTTTAGTGCACCTCAAAAAAAGAAAATAATAAGAATTTTCTTAAACTTTTCAAGGCCTGTGAAAATTATCCGCTTGATTGGGCGAGATACAATTGAAGAAATAATCTACCGAAGAGCTGCTTCTAAGCTCCGGCTGACAAATACCATTGTAGAAGGGGGTCAGTTTGCTCTGGGAGCACCCAAGCCTCAGGGAGCAGCAGAGTTACAGGTAAAATAGAGCTATATCCTCAATTTGACTCCAGTAACATCTTTAGAAATGTCCCAGAGTGTTTCTGTATTTGTGTCTGATAGGAACCAAGCCAAACACTTATGTTTTGGGGGAGATGTGCATTGACACGACAGCTTTTGCATGTCTTAGGAACCAAAATGACATCCCAGGTCCAGGCAAGATCTGACATTTGAAGACAGTTTTTACAATTTCGAGGCACATCCATTGTTGGAAAAGGGTGTGTTTTCTTGGAGAAGAGGGGAAGGCAGAACCTCTCCTTGTTTTACTACTTTATTTGTAATTATAACAGGTCTAAAGTGGAAGCTGACTCATTGTTTCTAGAACTTACCTGTCTCTGGTGCTTTTCTCTCACAAACAGAGCTGATGATAAGTACTTAGTCAGCTTTTGGTTGCTAGTCTGAAACTCGGTAAACCTTCTGTTGACATCTTGGCAAATATAATGTCTCAGGAGTCAGGGCATGATTTGTAATTCTGACCTGAAAGCTGAGGTTTGTGCTGAGAACTTGGGTTGAAAACCTCAAGCAAAGTGACATTTAGGGGAATATATCCCCTGTGTGCAGCTAAACCTGGGAGAGGTTTGGAATTAGTGTATCCTTTCCCCTGCCGCCTCCCCTCCCTGCCCCATCAGCATGTGTCTCAGCAATTACAGTTTCCATGGGAAAAGTGGAACTGAGCCCATAGGAAATTCCATGCTGATATTTTTCTCCCCGTGGATTTTTGTGGTATTTAAGCTTTTGTTTTAAAGGAGTTGGGGGCAAAAACAAGCCTGGTCTTTCTGGCTATGAAGAAAGCTGCTTGAATGCAGTCAATACGATTCTGTTTTGTCATTTAGCCCTGGAGAAAAATGACCGTTCAAGTCTGGATGAGTTATGTTTGAGGGAGATATGTTGTAGGGGCCTGTCCCATCAGGTGTTGGGATAACTAAGCATGTTAAAGCATAAGTATTTTGACAAGTAACATTAAGGCTTAGATTTCTCCACTCATACATCCTTTGCATTTAAGCCTGAGAAGCTTGAGGCACTGGGATTGGCAAGGAATTAGGAGATATTAATACTGAACTTCCCCTTCTCTTTGTTAAAGCTGAGTGAAATCTTGAAATTTGGCTTGGATAAATTGCTCTCCTCTGAGGGGAGTACTATACAGGATGTGGAGCTAGAAAACATCCTTGGAGAGACAAAAGGAGGGAAGTGGGTAATGGACGTTGTGCTGCCACGCGAAGAAGAGAGTGAAGAGGAGGATACAGAGAGTAAGTTAAGAATCTAAATACCTATGAAATGCATGACGCTTGGGTGCTCTTAGAGAAGGCTTCTCAGGCAGGGGTGGCATTTTTCGGGCAACAAGAAGAAAAGTGGACTTGTAATTGAGTGAGTGACTTGGATTTTGTTTGTGATCTATCCACAGACTTTATTTCCAAGCCTTTATTGGCCTTTTTCTTCTTTTTGTGTCTTTATTTGCCTATTTGTAAGATAATAGTAACAATACTTGCCCATTTTGCTGGCTGGGGGGCTGAATTCCTTCAAGTGCTTCAAATATTTTGAGACCTCAGATGAAACTCACGAGAAAAGGGGAAATAATCAAACTGCAGATGCTGTTTTTCCCACAGAGAACCATTAAGATAGATCTACAGTTTTAGAGATATCACGGTAACTTGAGGAAAGGCTATATAGCGGGTGTTTTGTATTTATCTCCAAACAAAAGATTATTGGCCATAAAAATCACAATTTAAAATGACCTTAAAAAATTTCCAAAATGTGAGATAAGAAATGCGGAGTCATGGAGTCTAAACAACTAGAACAAACCTACTCTGTCTTCAGTACTCTACCTTCCAGTCCAAATGTCACGCAGTTGTGGTTAGTTTTTCATAGCCCCATACTACATGAGAATAAATTCTAAGGATACTTTCCGTCTTCTGGTGCCATGGTGAGAAAGACTGAATTTCTGTTTTGAGTACACAGTAGTACTAAAATATAGATCTGTGACTGAAGCAGAAATATGGCCCTGCAGGTTAGGTATTGTCCGTCCTGCAGCAGTTGCCAGCAACAAGTAATTATTTGCTGAGAGTTAGCAAAGAGTGGTATTTTCTGTTGGTAAATTAAAGAGGAGCAGTGGTACCACACTGCATAATAGTTATTGGGAGAATAGCTCACCTGATGAGCAGTAACCCTGAGCTGCCAGAATTCTGTGCTTTTATTTTGTTTGGGAGCTCAAAAGCAAAAGTTTGCTGTCCCTTTACAAGAGTTGCCTGTAACTAGATAGCAAAGCTAAATGGATTTGCTACTGGCAGAGGTGGAATGACCAAAGAGAACAGTGATGGAGCTACAACTTAAAATAGTTAATTGACCAAAATAGGAAGAAAGGTTCTTTGCCAGTATAAATGACTTAAATGAAAAACTTTTGCCTAAGGAAGCAAATCTTGATTCTCTTGTTTCTACATGGTGCTGACACTGGTCATACAAAAAAATTATGAGAGGGAACATCTTCTTCTGCTGAGGGTAGAACAGTGTTACAGAGAAGCCAGATTTCTTTTGATCTCCCTGTACGTTTTAGGTGTTAGTGGCTTTCAGTTCCTTTTTACACTTTTTAATTATTTTTTAAAGATCACATGTACGTGTACGAAGGCAAAGATTATTCAAAAGAACCCAGCAGAGAAGACAAAAAAGCATTTGATCAGCTTTTGGATCTTCAGAAAGCCTTGACTGAAGAGACCAGTAAGGGAGGGAGAGCTCTCCGGAACAAAGCAAACGTAAGACAAAAGACATGACAAGGCACATGATGCTCTTTCATTTGCTTGTGGAAAATGAGGCTGACGGTTTTCTCTCTTTACCTACAGCTTGCAGAAGGCATGTTAAAAGATTTAGATGTCAATGTAGTAGAGTTGGCTCTTGAATCTGAGGGCTTGACAATTCAGGATTTCTGATAACAGATCAGAGATGTGATGTGCAGAGCACTCATATAAACTTAGGTCACAAAACCACATACTATGTGACAATTGGGATCTGATGATTAAGACCTGTGGACAAGTAGACAAACGGGAAAGGAGTGTAGGTTAAGGTGGGCACCAGACATGGCTTTAAGGTGAGAAGTAGGTTTCCATGATACTTCTTTCTCCAGGCCCTTCTCACAGGCCTCCGGGAACAGTCAACCAGGAGGAAGCACTTGTTGAGCGCAGAGGAGCTGGAGGCTAGGAGGAAGAAGCGCCAAGAAGCAGCAGCAAAGAGAGCAAGGCTCATGGAGGAAAAGAAGAAGGCAAAAGCAGAGGCAGAACACAAGAAAAAGTATGGTTTGTACTGCATCTACTACTTGTAAGCTGATGTCTGTTACACTATACTCTAGAAATGTGTGTCTGATTGATGAAAACAAGTCGTGCTCTGTATCCACTCTGGCAGGTGGGACTGGGAATGAGGGGAGAAGAAGATGACAAAATGGCTGCAGGCCACCCTCATGAGAGAGTTGACTTCATACATCAGGATGTTTCTGTGTGTGTGCTCAAACTGCATAATGTAGGGATGTGAAGGTGGAAAAATGGCTTGAGCCCCTAGCAAGGGTTCTTTTCCCTGAATACATTGCCTGACTTCACATCTAATTTAATTCATAGAGACTGGCCTGAATAAGAACCCCATATCTGAATGTACAGTGAGCTTTTGGGAAAAGCTTTCTGAAATGTCACAGTTGGCCCCTATGTATTGGTCTGACATCTGTGACTCTCTGGCATGTGCCTTAACTTTCTCCTCCTTGTTTCCTAGAAGTTCTTCCTTTTCACCACTCTAAGTAGCTCCTTGCCCTTTGTCATATGCTCACTTTTTCCATGCCCACAATTGGCTTATCACACTGGCGTGTGGCTCTTAATATCACAGATAACAACTGTGGTAAACTTTGTTCCGGTCTAAAATAGGGGAGAGGAGCAGAGGGAATGCAGGTCTGGGTCTCCTGTGTTTCACTGCAATGATTTAAAACAAGGTGTGTGCCCCCCACCTTTGATTTTCATTGAATATCATCTTCTCTTGCTTTGTTTCAGGATGGCCTGGTGGGAGGCGAATCATTACACATCTACCTGCCTTCCGTCAGAGGAAAGTGACTCTGAGGAAGAGTTTGAGGAGGATGAGGCTGGGCTGAATGTGGATTTAGATTATGAAGATGCAGACCTGAACTGTATCAAGTACGTCATGGGAGATGTCACCCACCCCAAAGCAGAAGAGGAGGATGCCATCATTGTCCACTGCCTAGGTGGGACTTAAAACAACAGGAATGTTGTTGGGTGAGGTGGACAAGGGGGCTGAATTGTCCCTACTAGCTCAATAGTTTCCAATTCCCATCCAGACTGAAATAATTTGGATTTGAGTCTGACTTAATCTTGTGGTGCAGAGGCAATACAGCCTCTACTCCACCATGTATAACCCACACAAGTACTAGCAAGGTGTACCTGGGTCTTTTCACACCCTCTCGGGGTTTATGGGTGAGCCTCTTGAAAGGTGCCTGTATGGCTTGAAATTTTATGTCTGTGGCCAAGCGGGGACAGTTCTTCCTGGGAGCAGGGCCTTTTGTTCATCCCATGGAAGCTGTAGGGATTGAACTGAGATATTGAAAATCATCTGCCTTACACAGTCAGCAGAGAGAGAGACAGGCACTTCTAGAGGCTGAGGTCAGAGTTTCTCTATCTCTGTGCTCGTCTCAACACTGACAGTACAGAGGCCCTAAGCTAGTATCCTAATTTAAGGACCTCTGTTAAGACACTAAAGCTAAGGGAGAGAAATTCACATTACAGAGTTCCTTCTGAATCAATGTTGGAGCTGCTCTCTGACCAGGGCTATAGCAGAACATTATAATCTGCTTTGGCTTATGTTAAACTCAGCACAAAACCTCATGTTTAAAGTGGAAATGCCAAGTAAAAGTGAAAGCCTGCAAATAACAAACATCTAGTTGTGGGAAGCCCAAGGCAGCAATCTGGGGACATATATAGGTGCATAGAGCATGCACCTAGTGCATATATGTGAGGACACCAACAGGTTTATATGCTCAATGCCATGGTTAAGTGCTTGTTTGAGCATCCTCTGTGGACAGTAAGAAGGAATTCTTCCCGCAGAATTTTTCAGGGAACTGTGACGAGTTTGTTTTTCTCAAGGGCTGAGGTTTATCCTCTAGGATGGTCCCTTGAGTACTGGTTGACTTCAGTTCATATGTGGTTCCCATATCTGGTTTTGATAATCATTCGTTGCATTTGTACAGAGTAGATCCCTTTCCTGCAGGGGTGGTCTTCAACCTCACTTTCTAAAAGGATTCTAACTTGTAATTTCATTCTAGATGACTCCGGCTGCTGGGGAAGGGGTGGTTTATTTACAGCTCTGGAGGCTCGTTCTGATCAGCCAAGGAAAATATATGAGATGGCAGGAAAGATGAAAGGTAAGAGATTAAAACATGACCTTAGGCCAAGATACCTGAAAGAGCTTAAATCCCACTGATGTTGCAGGAGTGAGGTGCCTGGATACCTTGATACTCATGTTTTTTCCTCTTTCTCTAGATATGTGCATCCCTAGCTCTGAAAGTAGTAATACAGTGGGTGCTTTGACTTGACTTGTTTGGAGTGTGAGAACTCTGCATAGGGGTTGGTCATTCCAATCCATGCTGCAAATCATTAAAAAAAAAGAAACAAACCCTGAACTTGTTTATTATTCATATGATGTTTTTCACTATATAAGACAGAGCCCTGCATCTTCTGTCAAAGTGCTTTTAAGAAGGATGAAAGCCACCTCAGGCAGTACTCAGTTGAGCTTTTGGTTCCCTCCAAGCACTAATTTTCTCCTGAGCATGTATTTGCAGTTTTGAGTACCTGCAGCTGGTGAGGAATGCACATCTTGCTGCAAGGTGGACCTGTTGTTTTTTTCTAATTTCCTGGGAGATGTTTTCTTCTTGTTCCAGTGTCTCTCTTTCCATTTGTGGTCTTTAACTGGGATGTGTGTGTGTCTGTGTGTCTCAGTCGGGGGGGAGTAGCGTCTGTCTTGCTTCCCTGAGCAAAGGGACTGACTCCACTGAAACCATCATGAGGAGATAAAGAAAGCAAAGGAGAATAATGCAGAACATGACAGTGAAATCACTGCTGCATTGACTCACTGTTGACTCTTCAGGACTGATTTTTTTGTTGTTGTTCTGTTCTTGTTTTCTGGACAGACCTGGAGTTAGGAGGAACCCTGTTATTCCCCATTGATGATAAAAAATCCAGGAAAAAAGGACAGGACTTGGTGAGAATGAGAAGCTCCTTTTTGTGTTGCTCTGTCCAGATGTTTTTGAAGCTGTGGGAAATGAACGTTATGTCTTTTTCCCAATAATAATGACACTGAATACTGAATATGGCTAAGTTGCAGTTCAACATAGAGAAAAGGAGATCTTTTCCTCATTTATTAAAGCTCATAGTAATGCAGTTTTCCAGCAGCTATCACTGTGCCTCTCAGTGCTGTATTTAGACTCCATTTCATGGTTTTGTGTGTTTTCTCCTTAGTTGGCCTTGATTGTAGCTCAGCACCGGGATCGGTCCAACAACTTGTCTGGCATTAAGCTGTCTGCTTTGGAAAAGGGCCTGAAGAAGATTTATTTAGCAGCCAAGAAAAGGAATGGTAAGTGTTTGTGCAGTAGAACAGTGAATCTTTACATGTGTGATTGCATCTAAAGATGATGACCAGTTTCCACCTCTCCTGTACTGTTTTTTCTGAAGTGAAGTAACAGTGAGATCTCCATGGCAGATATGTTGTGTTCCAAAATATTTCTTCTGTTCTTGTTGGGTAGCTTGAAGTCCTTATCTAGATCGCTTTCTATATGTGTATCTTGTCCTAAAGAGTGTGCGCTCTCTGTTCCTTCCTTCTCAGCAACAGTGCATCTTCCACGTATTGGGTATGCAACAAAAGATTTCAACTGGTATGGTACCGAGCGGCTCATCCAAAAATATTTGGCAACACGGGGTATCCCCACGCTTATGTATCCTTTTGGAGTATGTTTTATTTGGTTCACAATCTACTATTGAAATGATCCCCTAAATATCTTGGTGGATGCAAAGCAAGAAAGCAAGGCAAGGCACAGATGCCGCAGTCCAGCTAAAAACTTGGTTTATCTGATTTTGCTCTCATCCAGGTACTCATTCCACGGTGAGGACTTACCAATTTAGGTGATAATGACAGATTCGTCTGGTTCAGTATGTCTGTCAGAATTTGTTGGAACTAGATGCTGGTCTTCTGTTGACAGCCATCAACTTACCTGTATATGCCACGTCTGTGGGGGAGATGCCTGGAATTTCAGAATAACAGAAGTGACTCAGAAAGTAGCAAAAGTGAGGATGTGATAAAAACATTACAATGTTCCACGCAAGTGATAACCTGCTTCCTTGGCTGAACATGGTGGAGTTGGTGTGTGTTAGGACAGGCTCTTGCAAACAGCTCATTGCTTCCACCTTCCAGGAAAGGAAGCAGAGGTTTACAAGGAGGCTTTGTTTTGTCCTTTCTCTAGGAAGACATGCATTTGCTATACTGCCACTGTCAGCAATTCTGTGAAACTGAAAACCTGAAACGAAGACAATAGTATTCAGAGCATTCTGCCACCTTCCTTGGTGAATCTCTTAGCAGACATGTTGTCTGGCACTCCTTGACACTTGACAGCATTTCCTTGACACTTCTTATTAGATACTACTTCCCTAGGAATAAAGGCTCTTCCTCTGCTTCACAACCATATTCATCTTCAATGACAGTCTCAAAGCCATGAGGATGCAGTAATTTCATTGAGAAACATGCGCAAAAAGCCAAGGATCTTTTCAACATCACGCAAACAGTCTGTATGTGTCCACTTCAGAAACATGGCTTACACAGCCATTATTTGCTCCGGTATCTGTCTGCCTTTATTGGCCAGAATGTTTACATGTTGTCAGTGGCTCTGGAGAGGAATGCGACTGCTTCAGAGTTCAAAGAGTCTTTGGATAAGGATGTTCCCTCAATCCCAGATCTGTTTTGGAGATGGAAAATTAAACTTTCACTGATGGTCAGTTGTTATCCCTTACATTGTTATTGCTAGGGCTTGGAATATAGTATTGTCTGGCCATATTTTTTCCCCTCTTCAAATTCCATGCCTTGTCTCACTATACCTGTTTTCAATCAGCTTTTTAGTGGTTACCTGGGACTCTGTGTACATGCCCACATAGACGTCTCAGTGGAAAGGAAGCTGTCTGCATTCACAACACTGCATAACAACCACATAGTATAAACTCTTTATACTGTTCCAGTTCCCCAGAAGTCCATTTGACTTGCATTTGTTCAAATATAAAATTTAGTCACATAATCACGTGCTTACAATCTAGCAAAATCCTGACCAGTATTCTTGGCAAAGGCGTGCAAGGGTGCCAAAATTTGAGACTGGCTTTATAAATGACACCTTTCCTTCTCCCACAACTGCTTTTTCATTACACAGCTCTTTGTTGCAGCTATTGGGCAAAACCAGTTCCTTACTGCTGTCCAGAAAGCTGTGTGAAAGATTCCATGACCCTTTGATTCACGTTAAGGAAAACTTAATGCAGAGTTTTTGATGTTGGCTTTACTCTATTGCAACAGAACTTTCCTGTTTTTTGCATTGTTGGCACTGTTGGCTTTAGCATATTTTTTAGGGTATTTTAGTACAACGAGGCAATAATTAGCTTTCCTAATAAGTGTTTTGACCAGAGAGACTGTGAGGTGCCAAACTTAATTAAAGTTCAGCTTCCAATAGGAAATCACCCCAGAAACAGTGGAAAGTGTGTCTTTAAATATCTAATTGCCAACACACATCTCATTGGCTGCATTTACACTGCCTCTGTAGCACCATCTGGTTACTTAATAATTTCAGGCCTGGTTCTGACATGGCTCATCACGCTGACTGGTGTGCTCCACACTAGAAGAAGCCTTCCTGAGTTGGATACTCTCTCATTCACTGTTAGCTCTACCAGAAAACCCCAAGTGATTTGTTATCTCCTTTGACCCTGCTGAAGCTTAGGTAAGCCGGTGCTGCTTAGCACCTCAGTAGGCAAGACCTTTCTTGCAGCTGCTCAGAGGAACAGCCCCTTTATATTTGGCAAAGGGCTTGCAGGATCAGAGTCTGACTGTGAAGACTTTCTGGGGTGAAAGGTGGTGAGTAGATGTACATTACCTTGTTTTCCCCCCGTCGTGCGAACTGGCACTCTTCCAGCAGGCCGGCTGGTGGCACTGTTAATCAGCTGCAGCAGCACATGTTGCTCTCGGCCTCCTTTCAGAGAGCAGGGCAGTGATCTCCAGCCTGGAAAAACGCTGCCTTTGCCAGAATTAAAACACCGGTTATGCTTTTCTCTTTGTCGGCTTGACTGAACACATAATTTCAGTCTGCAGTCTCAAGGCTCTGTTCCTCCACCTATTCTTTTCCTGTATATTTATTGCCCTTCTTTGAAAGGTTTCATTCCCAAGTGTTCCAGTGTGTGCAGTCTTGTTCCTCAGCTTCACACACACCTATGGCCAAATCCCTGCCCACCTACAGGTTCTCTGGCCACCATGCAGTTACACATGGACAGGATTTGTCTTGTGGCTGAGTCCCCCAGCATGGGTTGAAGTAGTGCATATACCACCACTATGGCCAGGTATTCCTGTTTGAGGCCTCATGCTTCCGTTTGTTTCTACAAGAAGATGGGGCTCTACCTCTGTCCTGTGCCCCCCACCCTGCTGTAACTCTGACTAGAATTATAAAGGAGAGGAGGGCACGACTACCTGCCTGTTAATGTCCCTTACCCTGTAAGATAAGGCCCGCAGGGGGCTGCAAGGTTCCTGGCACACACAGAGGAAAGGTCATGGTATGCAGTAGATTCTCGCCCTCTAACTTAGGGGCAAGTCAGACAAAAGATGTTCTCTTTTCCCCCCTCTACTCCTCTTGGCCTGTACAGATTAAAGCTACCTTATTTTTTTCCCTTTAAATTTACTTAGGAAATGCTTCTGGAGTATGGGGGTTTTGTTGTTTTTGTTTTTTTTTTCTTTTTTAAACAATATTCTTTAATATTCTTTAAATTTGCTGAATCCAGAGAAAAGTTCTACCTCTGTCTGCTTTGAAATGGAAGTGAGATTTCAACTGAATTCTGAGCTGGGTTTTGCAGAATCTCAGCCAAGTGAAGTTTTTCTAGTGTTTGCTACCCACCACCATTTCTCTTTATTTGGGCAGAAATCGTGTATTTTGGATAATTAATTCCATAAAGGGCTCAGCAGCTTTATATGCAAGTTGCTATGCAAAATAAATGTGTCATGCTGTTTCTTCAGCTGTGCAGTACTACGCATTTTCCCTTTCTAAATAGCAACCACCCCAAAAGGGAAGGAAGGTGTTCTTTTGTAGTCATGTCCCTCTGGCCTCTCTCTTCCTCTAAACAAGATTTTCTGCAGCAAAAGAGCTGAAATGTGGCTCCTTGTGCATATCTGTCATTGCATGTTTACTTAAACTTTAGATGTATGCTGCTAGATTGAGGTCAGCAGCACAGAGCAAGATCATGCACAGTTCAGACTGGCTATACAAGCAGTTTCATCAGGTGGGACCTATGAAGCGGCATCCAGTCTCAGTGAAGAACTTTCCTCTCCACCCCATGCTGGAGGCTCCAGCTGATGCCATGTAAGAATGGGCAGTAATTCAGAATGACATTTATACTTGTGCTGGCTCAGCTCGTGCTTATGTGTCTTACTTGACAAGGCACTGCCTCTGATTCTCAGAGCATTGTGCAGACTAATTCTGTCTTTGGTGAGGAATCTCTGTGGCCTGTAACTTAAGAATGACCTTTTCATTCTACTCAGGAAATAGTAAAAAAAAAAAAAAGGCGAAACCAATCAGGTTTTATGGACACGTGTAGATAGGCGATTTTGTCACTGAATTTTATCACAAACAAAAATTATCTGGTTGTGTCACTGTGTGTTGGGGAAGGTGGAGTCTGGATTTTGGGGAAAGAAAGAGGAAGACTGGTTTCCAAGGTGATGGAGAAAATCTACAGCAAATTCAACCTCAGTATCTTAAAAATATTGTATGTATGTGTCTCCAATAAGGCAGAATCTGGCCCACAAAAATGACCAGTAGAAAAATACAAGGATGAGTAGATGGATTTATTTAAAAATAAGTGAATCTAATGGTCCTGGCGGAAAAAAGAAAGGAAACTTTTGAACAAAGATATGACTTAAAAGTGTAACCTACATGTCAAGTTGTGTGAAAACTCCCACAACTTAACAGTAGATGATCCTAGAAGAGAGAACGTAGACGTTTATTTAGCTAATTTGACTGGATAGCAGGCTGATCATGCACTGTGATCAGCAAATCAAAATGTAAGACAATGATTCAAAACCCTAAGGGATTTGCTATGAGAAGGGATAAAGTCCACATTCAGGAAAGTGCCTCTTCTAGTAGATCCAAGATAACTTGTGTTCCACACAACTGTGACCGAAAATCCATGTTTCCCTGGTTTTCTGTCCAACTCATGCTTTTCAGAGTGAAAAATACAAACCTGAGGAATGCAGTAGCAGGATTAGTAGAATTACATATGAGTATTCCCTCTAAAAAGCAGATCTCTGTATCATTTTGAATTCCCTGCATGAGCGAGTCAGTGTATATTTTCCGTGCTGGACTCTACCATCCACCCATCTTGGCCCTGGTCAGATGGTATTGCATTTGTGGGAAGACACCTAGAACCTTCTGAAAATGCGATGAGGATAAAAATTTTCTGGATCCTCATGTTTCAACCAGGAAGAGAATGTTCCTGCTTGCACTTTCTAGCATTTTACTGAGCATTTCTTCAAAGTTAAGGATAGAAACAATCCCCTCAAGGAGCTACGTGAAATGAGAATGTTAGTCATGTTTCTGTTGAAAAAAACCAAGCCAAAGGAGAGTTAAGGGAAGCCAGAAGTTACTTGTAAGATCTGAAAATGTCTCAGTTTTTGCTGGCTTGAGCAGAAAAGAATTATTTTATTAACATATTTGTTGAAGTTAAGTGCAGGGCATCTACTAGCCTTCCTCTGCTACTTCCAGTGAACTTGAGGTTGTAGCATCAGCATTCACATGATAAGAATTTTTTTTTTTTAATAGGAGAGAGACAAATTAGGAGCAAATCAAAGGTGTTTATGATCTCATGCAAGTCCGCTGCAGAAAGGGATGAAGAATCTGAGATCACATCCCTTTTCTGTGTGCCACATCATGAAACAGGCCAAGTTTGGGCCTGGCTTCATGTGAGTCTCCTACCTCTTCATCTGTCTGCCTATTTGTGCATCAAAGAGCATGCCATGAAGCAGTGCTGGTCCATGTACTTGACCACTTACAGATCCTTCCTAAAACATCTCCTGGCCACTATGCCAGCAGGAATGGGAAAAGATCAAAACAGAAGGGAACTGCAGTGAAGGTGTTTCGCATTACATGCAGACAGAACGGATCTCAGATTCACAGGAGAATCGTTTAAGTTGGAATGGACTTCTGGAGGTCCAGTCCGGACCAGAGACCATCTTTGTTTGACATGGACATACTGGAGTGAGTCCAGCATAGGTCCACTAAAATGATTCAGGGATCTGACGTACTAGGAGGTGGGGAGAGCTGGGATTTTTTAGCCTTGAGAAGAGAGGTTTCAGAGTGGAATCAATGTGTGCAAATGTGTGTCAACATGAATAAATAAATGATGGAAGGGAGTAAAAAAATGGAGCCAGACTCTTCTCGGTGGTATCCAGTGAGAGGAAAAGAGGGAACAGGTACAAACTGAAATACATGAAATTCCGTTTAAACGTGAGAAAAAAACATTTTTACTATGCAGGTGCTAAACACTGGAACAGGTTGCCTAGGGAGGTTGTGGACTCTCTGTCTTTGGAGATGCTCAAAACCCGACTTGGCACAGCCCTGAGCAACCTGCTGTAGTTGACCCTGTTCTGAGTGGGGAGACTGGACCTCCAGAAGTCCATTCCAACTTAAACGATTCTCCTGTGAATCTGAGATCCGTTCTGGGTACTTTAAAAAAAAAATCCCAAACCAACTCTAATCTTACCTATTCAGTGGTGCACAGGAGCATAGGACTTCACAAATTTCTGAACTATGACCCTACCACACAAGTAGCTTGATTCATGCAAAATGTTTCCTCGTGTCTCAGTGGTTTAAACAGATGATGAGAGATAAGCACGTAACAGCGTCTCAGCATCTGTCCCTGAGCCCATCTTCACCGTATTCCTCCTTTGCCGGTATTCTGTGTAGCAGCTTGACCTAGTTGGGTGCAAGTGGGCCTCACTGCCGGGTCTAACAGGTATCTACACCAGCTGGGTCTGGACAGGGCGTAGGTGCTGGTCCTCTCCAAGGTTTGTATACATCCCCAGCTCAGCTCTCTTAGCAATCTCCTTTCCGTGGAGTACTGCAACAAGTCCTGCTGCTCTAGACCATGAAAACAGTATTTAGAAATCCTCTAAATCTTCTTGAGCAGCTGCTGGGGCAGCATAGTAGGAGAAGAAATACAGACTTAGCAGAGTTTCTTGGTTGCTTTCAAAGAAGTCCGGTTAAAGACCTTTGAAAAAGGCCCCTTTCCCTCGTTGAAGTTTTCCCCTGAGTTTCCGTAGCCTTTCAGGCAGGGCAGCATCTCCCCTTGTCCTCTCCCCCCCTCGGCACAGGTAAAACCTTACTCCTTGCACCGAGTCTCTCCCCTGTGCCAGATGCATGGCCTGCATGAACTCTAGCCAGTTGCCTTTTGTCACATTTCCCCCACCTCTGAGCGGGGAGGAAGCAAGCCCTGTTGAGATAGTCGAGCCGTGGGGAGCCGTTAGCAGCCAGCGAGGCTGAGAGGCAGGCTTTCAGCAGGGTGTCGGATGCTTTCCAGGGCAGGGCCATTGCCTGGAATGCAACAGAATCGGGCCTTGGGCAAGTTTAGACACATGTTGATGCATAATACAAGATGGAGCCTATCACTCGATATTGGCCTCTTCCAGTCAGTCACGGGGTTGGGTAAGCGTGTACACCATGCAAAACAGGAGGTAACGTAGCTGCCAAATCAGAGTGATACGGAAACGTTTCTTTTAATTCGCAGTTGACTGTTCCATTGTGAAGCCATTCCATGTTGTACAGGTGTTGAGTAGGGGGCAAGCACCACAAATAAAACCGTGGCATTATTTTGGAAAAAGGGAGTGAGGGAAAATTGGAGTGGAAAAATGAAAGATGCAATCTACAGCAGCCGCAATAACACAATACGGAAACTAGCTGATAGGAATAACTTCAGTGTCTTCTGCATCTGATCCCTTTGTAGACTGGATTGTTCTTGAGTAGTTCAAAGCAAAGGACTGGAATCTAGGAGGTCTAGATTTTCTTCATGCGTTCCCAGCTGCAGGTTCATTGTACAGCTTGAAAACTTAACTATTTTTAAAGGGTAAGACAACCCAGAGGTGAAATGAAAAAGGAGCAACATTTGAATACAGGAAAGGTGACTTGCACGGCACGCAGAACTCTGCCTGTTTTCCTCCCCAGCTGCCCAGAGCAAGCGGTGTAAGGAATTTGGTGCCCAAGGCAGGCTTCACGCAGCCTGTTAGCGGCTTCAGGCAAACCAGGCCCTTCTCCCTGGGTGGCAGGAGGTCCTTCCTCATTGCAGACCTCTTGTGACCAGGGGCAAAGTGTGCCGCAGCTGCAGGCTATGCGTGGAGGAACAGACCAAGCAGTCCTGAAGGCTAGGCATTACAGTGCCTAGGAATACATTTGGCCTTGGAGAAAACCCAAGAACATGGTTGTCCTGGATGGGAGAGCTCAAAGGGACTGGTCTTTCTGCTGGAGGAGAGTGTGACGGCGTAAGGACAGGTGAGGGGCAAGGCTGGGTGGAGGAGAGCTGTAGAGCAGGAAGAGCTCAGCCTTGGAGGGGCTGTGGGGCTCAGGAGGTAGGCACCTGGGAGCAGGAAGGGGGGCGATGGGTAGGTCTCAGAAAGAGGGGCAGCAGCAGGAGGTGTGAGAGCGTGTACGAGCTGAGATGCAGAGGAGGCAGAGCTGCAGGGAGAGGTTCAAAGAGTGAAATCAGGCCTCGAAAGGGTGAGTAGCGGGTCCTGGCCGCGGAACCCCACCAGGTATGGTTGCAGCAAGGGCCGGCTGGGAGATGCC